AAGTTGTGTGAAGCAGGAGTGAATCCTGAAGCACTAGCTTCGGTTGTACAGGAGTTACGAAGAGAAGCGGCATCCCTACAGGTATGAGAAACAATTGATGACTTTATCTCTGTCTTGACGAGGTTGTTTCTCTTGTCTACATTTAGCTTTTTATCGCAATATAATCCCGGGACTCAAAGATGACTTGAATTTACTATCAAAGAAGAGGTTTACGGAGTCCTAATCGTGAATGGTCAAGAGTTCATGGTCCACCTGTCGAATGCAATAGTTTAACTTACTTATTTAAGTATCATTTGAATTTGTTTTGACAACATTCTTTTGATTTCAGACACAGGATGTTGGAGAGAGGTGAAAGGTGAAATTGAAACGATTTCAAGAAAAAACAAAACAATCAAAGATTGATATGTCGCTACTGTATATTGTAAAGGTCACAAATGGGAACCACCTTTTCTGAGCCAGCTGTTTAATGTCAAGGGACTGCTTTGTAAAGAGATGCAATCAAGTCAAAATATCCTGAACTCGTTCATTTTTCTTAAAATAACCCTTTTCCTTAAACAGTATCAAGCAGACAAGTAATGAGAATAAGGAAAAAAGAAAGTCAGATTATCAGTTGATGCAATACTAAATTCTCCAAACTAACGTCACAAGAATTGTATAGCAGACAGTTAGGAGAATTGCTAGTGAGATCTTGGAAGTGAAAGGGTTAAGTGATGGGAGGCTTTTCTTACTAATTAAAAAAAAAACAAACAAGTCAGTGCTTCAGGCTAGAATTGTTAAACAAGACCAAGGAGAACCTGTGATTGTGGTGTCAACATCAATAGTATTTATATGTATGAAACTTTCTTGTCACTACAAGGCTTCTTTTGTGTAGACTCAACTTCTAATTGCCAAATAAAAATGTACATTTTGCATTAAGTTTTGGGTCTCATTAAAATAAAATGGTTGGTATGTGGCAGTCAAATTTGCATTGGATGCTGAGATTTTGAAATTAAATAAAATGGTAGGCCTGGGGAGATTTTTTAGAGTCAACTTAAAAGAAGAAGAATTGTACTGTTCACCCACAAAAAAAGAAAAGGGCAAGGCTCAGGATTCAAATGGACAAGAACTTTCTCAGGGCAGAGGGAATAGAATAGATGTAAGAACAGTTCACTTAGAATGAAACAATGTTTGTATATCAAAACTGACTTTGATTCATTTTATTCCCATTTGAAAGTGGTAAACACAACACTTGTCTTCTTTGTGCTGCAGAGGCTCATTAACAGTGAAATTATATTAATTCATGACTTTTTTTTGACAGTTTCCACTGATTGATTCAACAGCTCAAAGTTGACAAAGGTTAAAATTAAACACAGTTTTTGAATGAAAATAATGCAAGTTCAATTCAAAATCTAATTCTATTTATGCTGAAGAAATGATACCGGAAACAATCCTCATTAACTAGGTGGAGAGTTGAGGTGTTTTTTCCAAGCAATAAAGTGAGTAATAACTAACTCCACTTCAGACTGGAAAGGTTTTTGACAAATGATTTCTGCGGCTTATAAATTAAATATCAATACCTAAAGTTTTGAAGAAGCCAGCAAGCCAAAATATCTCATTAGCACTTGCCAATTTGTTTTTTGCAAACCTTCACATTCATATGCTCTTTCAGAGCAAAAATATTTGTCTTCATAAAAACTCCACAAAAAAAAAATATATTACTGAAAGTCTCTTTTCCACTTGAACTGCAAAGGTTTAACTCATTGAGCATTTTCAAGAACCACAGCGATTCCTTGACCACCTCCTATGCATGCAGACCCAACAGCATACTTAGCACCAATCCGTCTCAGCTCATGCACTAAGTGCCCTGTAATTCTTGCTCCTGAGGTGCCTACAGGGTGCCCTAAGGCAATTGCTCCTCCATTTACATTTGTCTTGTCCATGTCAAGGTCAAGCTCCCTTTGAACTGCAAGAAACTGGGGTGCAAATGCTTCATTCACCTGTAAAGATTGGAAGAGATTGTTTTCAGGCCATGGTATAGTTTTAAACTTGTTCAGGTTGGTTGTTGCTTTAAGGGTTAGGGTTTGGTTTGGTTTGGTTTTGAGTCAATAACATGAGTGAAGGGCTACTCTGAACGAAGGACCAATGTTCCAAATGTCAGCCTTCAAAACTCTTTACAGTGGCCAATTTACATTATCAACTCATTTGATTAAACCAAATATTTTATGGCAACCCCCACTGATGCAGCACCACAGCCTTTATTCATATGTTGCTTATGTACATCTGTACTGGGAATTTTGGAATTTAGTCTAATTTTCTTTTATGTTGTATGAAAATAAGCTTGATAACTACACCAAAGCTGTATCCACAACTTTGCCCTCATAATTGAATACTTCACACTAAGAAAATGTTCTGCCCAAGGTCATCAATATTAAGTTGAGCAACTTAAATCCTTTAGTCCCCATTTTAATCATCAGTTTGTGTACTCTCCATACTCTTCTTCATTCATTTCCTATGGTTCTGACAAGGAAAATTTGTCCAACAATCAAGAGCTTCTAAAGGTGGTGATCAAATTCTTTATTCTCATGACTGAAGTGTCTGATTCAGCAGTGACACAGTATGGAGAAGTTAGATGCTAATCACTCTGAAAAGGTTTGAGGTTGTAAAGGTCTAAGGTTTTACGAACTCAACAAGCAATCAAACACTCTTGACAGCTTAGAAAAGCTTTCCATTTTTTCAAGCCTCTACCATGCTTCTATATCCATATCTTGAAAATTAGTTTGCAAATTTCAACACTTTTTCAAGATATTCTCTGTGCAAATATATCAAGTACCTCAACAAGAGCCATGTCTTGTAGACTCTTTCCAGCTTTATTGAGGGCTGCTTTGATAGCTGGGACAGGACCTATTCCCATGATCGATGGCTCTACACCAGCAACAGAATATGAAGCAATTCTTGCTAGAGGGGTGAAGTTATGTTCCTTCAGGGCTTTCTCACTGACTAAAATGAGTGCTGCAGCCCCATCACAGATACCCTAACAACAAAAACAGATTAAAATGTATTATTACATCAACTGCTTGTAAACAGTTTCCATAACTATCTACTAGGGAAAGTGACTTTCAGTCATAAATTGTAAATCCTACAAAGAGAGATTTTAAATGGTTTTGTGGGGCACGAGACCAAGAAGAGAAAGAATTCAAAACAAAAGACTTTTCAAAGGTAAACAAAGCACCTTAACCATGAAGAACTTGTTAGTAAGTTAGGCTACACACTAGTTTTGTTGTGTGACAAGTGTCTTCAAAATTGCTTTCAAATTGATGAAAAATGTTGAAAGCCCGTGCTGCAGAGGTAGAGAATGGAATGTAGAGGGTTTTTTGCTTGCTTTTCTATAGGATAAATTTTAAAGATGTTGTCACAAATCTGGAAACTTTTCATGTTTATGTTATTCCAGGATGAGAACAATGCTACCCTCTTACCAACAAGGGGATTTTCTGGAAAAATATGCAAAATGATCTATTGGTTTGTCCTTATTGTGGAAATAAGTATCACAAGCTATTGAACTAAAACTACAGTTTTATAATTAGCAAAAATCTCAGAGCAGCTTGATGAGGACAGTCATTTGCATTCCAGTAACAAAACACATACACACATATACAAAACAACAGCGAAAGGATTCTCACAGAAGCATTGGCAGCAGTGATTGTTCCATCTTTTTTAAACACAGGTGCTAACTTTGCCAGCTGCTCTATAGTACTGTCTGGCTTGGGATGTTCGTCAACCTTAAATTCCTCCGGTCCCTTCCTGCCTTTCACAGTCACAGGAACAATCTCTTCAACAAATCGGCCATCTGCATGAGCTAAAAATAAGATTAACTACAATTATATATTATCAACCTAACAGAAAAATTTTGGTAGCAAATAGAAAATGAAATAGAGAAAAGCAGCAACTTTGCTTTTAACTCTTTCACTTCCAGAAATGATCAACCTGTAACTTCTTCCTATGATAGCCATACATTATCCAACAAACAGGTTATGAGAACACTCAGACTTATTGAGTAGAAGTTGCTATCTTGATGTAACCAAATTCCTGTTATTAACAGTAACTAATTTACAAGAAGATAATAATAATAATAATCATAATAATATTCATTGATCGAGGCTCCCCCATAGGAGCTTTTTCAGCCACAATGTAGTTTTAACTAAGTGCTTAAAAATCCCCACTGGCAGGAGGCGACTAGTGAGCTATTTAAAGAGCACAGCCGAGGAGTTGAACTAGGGGCAACCGAGAACAAATCCAGTGAGTGGCGGGGTGGAGGACTTGAAACCAGGCCACTGGATTTCAAGTCCAGCACCTTAACCACTCAGCCACGCTGCCTCCATAACTAGCAACTAGAAAGGAGATCTTGGGAGTTTAAGGTTCCTTATAGTGACCAGGATTAAATTTCTTCTTACGATAATATTACTGAGTCATTCATTAAAGATCATGAGAATGTAGGAAATGATCACCAACCTAAAAAAACCTTTGATTGTTCATCCAATTCTCCTTATCAGTACCGAAGGAAATGTATGAAGATGGGCAAGGAGAATATAGATACTGATGTTAGGGTGTAAAGAGGTAATGCATGTTTCAAGCTATCACTTTGTGGAAAATTGTGGGTGAAAAATAAGCCCTGCATGGGAGTTAAAAAAAAACATGAGATACCCTCTAATTAGTAATGTTTGCTCTCCCACATTTGCATTCCTGTCCAGGCCACAACTGAGAGCTGGGCACAGCCTAGTAATGAGTTTCAGACTTGGAGTTTTATTTACCTTCAGCCCATCTTTTTTGAGATAGCAGAGCAAACTCGTCACAGTCTTGCCTTGTGATACTATATTTTTCAGCGAGATTTTCTCCAGTGACACCCATAGGCATTTTAGCATGAAAATCTGTCAAACCTTGCCACAGAGTGTCCTCAAGCTAGGGAATGAAATAAAAGAATAACCGAAGTATTAATAAAATGACTTTTAACCTACATTAATCATTATAGCCTGGTACCTTAAACATTGGTTTAGGTAATTATGATAATCACATTTGCAAATTAGTGCAGACTTGAAAAGGAATAAAAAAACAGATAAACAGGACCATCTGAGTATACATCATTGATCAAGAAATATACACCATTCAACTTTGAAGAAGATCTAATGGAAGAAAAAGTCTCCAGAAGAAAGCTCACCTTTAAGTCAAGACCTAATTTTGTTCCAAATCTAGCATCTCTAAGGGCATATGGTGCTTGACTCATGTTCTCTGAGCCTCCACACAAGACAACGTCACTTTCACCCAACTGAATCTCTTGTGCTGCTGTGACAACTGCCTGGAAACCTGAACCACAGAGTCTGTTCAAAGTTAAAGCTGGGGTTGAAACAGGAACATTGGCTTTCAGAGCAATATGTCTTGAGAGATAAGCTGCATCTGATGCACTCTGGAAATGGGAATCAAAAGATTAACCATCATAGGCTAGCAAGACACTTTCTGTTCACTTCACGTCTTAGTATTGGTACATGCCAAAAAATTTATTTTCGTTATAATGATAGAGTAATTTTCAGTAACGTTTTGAGCACTGGTAGAAAGACTGTGTGCTGCGCGTACAAGCAATTTTGATTGAATTTAATGATATTAAGTAAATTTAAAGAGATCTGAAAAAAATTGATTCTCGGTATAACCCTGCTTACATCAGGCAGGGGAACCTAACAGGTGCAGACCTGTCACACGATAGGAAAAACACCGACTAAAATAGTCTGTCTGACAGCCAATCGTGGTCTATCTGTTCCTCTAAAAACAAGCTAAAGGACATGACTGCTTTCATCAGTTTATCGTCATTTCTGAACCTTGGCAAAAATGCAGTATGTGAAATTGTCATCAGGAATTACACGTCGCAAGTGTTCTGCTACAAAGTACAAAGTCCATCATGACGAGTACGGTACAAGGTCAAGAGAGCAGCCCACTTAAAGACGAAAATAAAATTAATCCATCAGATCGCTTTTTTCTACAACTTTAAATCCCAAAAATACCTTCCTGATCTATGAACTAGCCCTAAGTTTTCTTTTGATAAAATATTTAGACCCAAGTTGAAATATTTCACCTGAATAACGTTACCAAACACAGACGAGTCCACAATAGCTGGATCGACTTTTCCTGCTTCCATCGCAGCAACAGCGGCATGTTGTCCCATCACAGTAGCCGTTACACCCTTAAGTTTTCCTCCAAATGAGCCAAACGCGGTTCTCTTAGCCGCTACGATGTACACTGGACGCGCAAGGCCTGTCATCATTACAATTTCAGTGTCTGAAGAATCTGTTGCAAAGTTCAGATAAATTTCGCTAACTAATAACTGAGTAGCCAAGCCTTTACTTGTTTGATGTGGGCAGGGGATGGGCAGGGAAAGGGGCAGGGGATGGGTGGGTTAAAACGTAAAACCAAGTGTACGATCATTATTTCAGAATTACTATAAGTAATAACGCTTTTGCGTACAAAATAACTTATTAGATCTTTCATTGGTGGTTTTAAAGGTCTGCTGAAGGAGGCCTATTGCCCTTATTTATGGAGCTCTTTTTTTTTTCTGTTGTTGATCTAAGCGTTATTGAGTGGATGTCGTGGCAAACAGTGAATCACTTGTGGTGTTAATACCTCACGTCCTTATCAAAAAGGATAAGTTTTCATTCTTAAAAATTCGTTTCTAATTTGGTAAATATTTTCGCAAATTCTTTTTGTCTATTAGTCTGTTTTTTTTTTTTTTAAGATGTTGGGACTCTGGTGTTCTTGTAGTCTCAAAAGTTTTTCCAGACATTTCTTCCACAGGTCACTAGCCTAAGGGTATCTATACCTAGCTATAATTTTTAAGATCTAAATTTTTAAGATATCAATAAAGGTTCTGTGATTCCATGCCCAGAATAAGGAAGTTGATCATAAATATGTTATGTGATGGGATACATATTACAATTCTTGCTCTGTTCCCAGAGACTTGGGTACTCTAAAGTTACCATTAAAATAATGCATTTTCAAGCATAACATCATCAATGATGTATGCATGATTGTCCAAAACAAATCTCCTTTTCCTGTTAACTTTGATGCACAATGATAGTTTCAAAGATACCGTTTATTTTGATCACATTTATCTCATTATTTTTAAGGGAATTTAAAAAAAAACAAGCCCCATAATTGATAAACTTTATTTTTCATTGATTAACTTATAAATCATTGATTTTACAGCTATAAATTTCTGTTTTTTTGCCTTGACCCTGATTCACAGGTTAAGATTCAGCCACAGCTAAGGGCATCAGGGTTGATAACCACACAGTGGATGACATTTCACATCCAACACTAAGTGATCTACGTGAGGAGCATAGGACTTCACATGTTCAATGTGCTCTACTTGGACATTCCACTCCTGTTTGCCATGCAATTTCCTTAATTGATGCAGTAGAGTATGAGCAACATATTTTGCCCAATCTAGCCACTCTTGCTTTACTTTCTTGTTGCAAGATGGTAAATGATATTGTTTCAAGAATGCAAGGTCAGATTGTGATGAAACTACAATTGACTCAGCAGAGATCAATGAAGGTTCCAGCTCAGATGATTTTGTCAAAACTATATTGTTGTCTTGTTCATGGCCTTGATTTACTACACACATTGACGTATTCTGTGGATGACAGCAAGTTGATGAGTGTTGGTCTTGTTCACTAAAGCCACAATTGTCATTGAGGGAATCGTGGAAGCTTGTCATGTCTGCTTCCTCTGTTTGTCTTGAAGGCAGAAAAGTATCCTGAGTTTTTCCATTTCCTTTATGGTCCACTACACCTGATGTAACATTTCCATGAATATGTAACCATCCTCCTCTATCAGAGTTAAGTGCTGCACAAGCCACTGGCCATCCTGCCTCACTAGAGGGGATGAGGCCCAGATTGACATGATCTGCCACTCCTTGAAGAGGAAACTAAATATCAAGTCAGATAAGACAATGGCATCAAATTTGGAGTGATTTCAATTAACTCAAGGGAGGCGTTCACATTGCTTACCTTTACCTGCAAATATAAAACTTACATGGGTAACGGAAATTTTCAAATTTCTGACAGTAACCAACATTTCAACAGTACAAAGAATGGTTGTCATCAGAGTCATTGCAATTCACACTACAAAACCAATTTTATGAGCTGTTGTTTACCTTCAGATTGTCTCCCTCATGAATGACACATTGTTTATCAACACCATTCAATTTCAGGTTTCTTCTCAAGGCCTCTACAGCATTTTCATTCCACTCACAAGCATGAACCATGGCTGCTTTTGCATGAACAAGATAGGGTAGGACAAAATAACCAATTCCAGCATATAGATCAACAACAGTTTGACCAGAACAGTCAAAATTTCCAACTCGCATCTTTTCTGTAATATTTCCTGATGAGAACATGCACTTCGTGACATCAAAGGTATATTTGATGCCATTGTCAGTGTGAGTTACCCATTCATCCTCGCCCAAAAGCAGAGTGACTTTGGGAGTTCTGAAACCATCATTATTTATGGTAGATTTCTTAGCAAGTCTTGTGACACCAAGACTTTTTGCAACAATTCTCCATAATTCTCCACCAAAGTCTCTCCACTTATTTGAAGTGAAACTGTTCTCTGGTAAAAGAATAAGATCTCCATGCTGTTCCCAGTGTGAAGGTATATCTTCTGGTAACAACTCATCAAATGTCCCAGCATTCATGTGCAATAAACTGACAATAGCATTCTTCAGCTTCTCTCGAGGAGACAATATTCCCTGTCTTGTGTTCAAAATATCTCCCTCCATGCATTCAACTCTTCCCTCAAATGGAACAAGCGAAGATATTTTACTTTTTCCTGACTGTTCACTGATAATTTTTTCTGCCAGCTCTTGTTGTAAAGGAATCATTACTTCATTTGTGGAGTACTTTGTCACTTTCCTTTCCATATCATACTGTCCTCTGTCTTCAAAATATTTCCTGGGAGGAAAGAAATGACCTATTGTTAAGAATATTAGAATAATTTACCCCTTATCTGTAACTCTTCCAACCAATATCATAATATAATTATTATCCATAGCAATTGCACTTCAACCTTTTTCTCCTAAATCTATATAGCTAAGCTAATTTAAATCTAAGGTGAAAGAGTTCTTAACCTAATATTCATTCAAAACAATTATCACTACAAAAGACAATGATTTAAAAGTGCTCTGAAAATTTCATCCTTTTTCCAATACTGAAGAATACCTGTAATAAATACTTTCTCAAAACGGTTAATTTACAGGCTGAAAAAAAATTAGGCATTACATAATGCCAAAATATATAATTCACCCAAGGATATGAGTTTGAGAACTTAAGACAATAAAAATAAGCAGAATAAAACTTTGATTCATCATTATGTCTTTCACTTGATCCTTTACACGCCTACATCAGTATCCATATAATTTTTTTCCTCGTGCTCCACTCTATACTTTTTCTTCGGTACTACAATGAGAACTTAGCTTCTGATCATTCCCTTTATTCTCATGGTCTTAATAAATGTTTCGAAAGCATTACTGTAAGGAGAAATTCCACGCTGGTCGCTTGTACGGTCTAGAGGATTAAGTAATTAGTAGTAGCAGTAATATTACAAATTGTAGTTAAGGCTACCCGTTGTAATTATTACCAACAAACCTGCGACACGTACCTTGCCTTCTGGCCATTGATTTTAGACGTCACAAAAACCCAGGACATTTTCAAACTATTGCCGCTAAAAATCCTTAACAAACACCATAGAGCTCCACGAATATGTCGTGAAAACTCTATCCATCCCTTCGAAGTCTTAATGCCGCCATGTTGGCCGTATATGGACTGGACACTAGGAAGGTGCATTAGTATTCAGTCAGCGAGATACTCCATTAGTTTCAGTTCTACTCGTGCAGATATATTGAACATGGCGGAGTCGAACGTTTTTCTCGCGGGACTTTTCAGTGTTGTTGCAGTCGCTCTCGTCGGGATTATTTTCTTCGTGTATAAATTAAGAATCTTGCATAGATAAATTTATAAGGTAAAACAATTTACTGTCTTTTATTGTGTAAATATAAAAATCATGCTTAAGATCCCCTACATGGACGTGTCACATGACTTCCAGAATTTTGCAAGTAGCTAGCGCTTTTTCTATACGTTCAAAAATTTGGGTTTATAAGCAAGAAATTCTTATACTGAGTTTTAAGAAGATCCTTCTCCCTCTGAGTCGGTAGGATTTCTGCACAGCACCGTTCTCCATTATGCATACAGCTTTTGGAAGAAAGAAAAAAATAGCGGAAACGATAGATTACCTTTGAGATTTCGCTTTTGTTTCAAAATAGTGTGAGGCTGAGTGGAAATCGTACCCCTGAGTCTCTTACCTGAGTCATCACACAAATCTGAGAATCGTGTTAATTAAAGAACTGGCTCTAGATAGTTAAGGGAACTTGATAAGAAAGAATGGTTCTGAAATCATTTATGAAATTTCCGCGTTTTTCTTCCCTCGCTCCAAATAATCCTGAAAATGAGAAATTTTGCACATTCTAATTTGTTTTATTTTTTTAAACAAGAAGCTGAGGTATTAAAAAGGCAATTAAAGGTATGAAATGCAGATCATTTTTGTTTTTATCCATGTAGCTGGATGAAAACAGCAACAGACATGGTGGAGAATTAGTCGGTGAAGTTTTAAAGGTTAGAGTTGATAAGTCTAGTGGGATATAATGATCACAAACCTTTGTGGTGTTGTACTTCACAATTATCAGGGTATATACATGATGATTTGTGGAAAAGTCAACTTTTAAGATACTTGGAAAGAAAAGGTAACAACATTGCTGACACTTTGGGCAAGGGTTATATATAGACTGTGAGTGGTCCCTCCTTTTTAGCCGAAAAAAAAAATCTGAAAAAAATCAGTGAAGATGTGACAGTTGTGGTTTGCCTGCTGAATGGAACTTGCTCTAACATCAATTTTTTTTGCTGAATTTTATTTACTTGAACATTGGACGAGATGTTACAAGTGTAGGGTTATTGTCTGAAGATCACCAACATGGTATCTTGTTTTGCATAATAAAGTTGTAGAAGTGTGTAATACCTAGGGGCATGTCATACCCAGGGGTATATAGTACCTAAGGGTAAATAATGCCCAGGGGTATATAAAATATACCTAGGGGCATGTAATACTCAGGATATGTAATACCAAGAGGAGTTGAATACCCAGAGGTGTTGAAAACCCAGGGGTGTGTAACACTCAGGCTAGTATGAAATAACCTGGAGTGATTTGCAGATAATAATCTATACTCTGAGACACTACTTTAATTTGATAGTCCATATCTGAGGTTGTGGGAAACAGGACTTAAGTATGTAACAACACAAGATTTTATTTAATTTGATAACTGTCATAATAAATAACTTTTTGGATATTTTTTGGAACCATCCACTACATCTTGTGTTACAGGTAGATAAGTTACTGAAATCCATGAGGTAGTTGATGATGTTCAGCTAATGAAAGCTGCTTTTTTATGTATTATTTAGGATTAATAATATTGTGTATTATTTTGCCTCTTTTTTTTACAGGCTCATGGTGTCAAATATGTTTTTACACTCTGTGGCGGCCACATATCCCCAATTTTAGTGTCATGTCAAAATCTAGGAATCAGAGTTATTGACACACGACATGAGGTAATGTGGTTCAAAGGTAATAATTATTTTCAGCTGAAGAAATATTTTTTCATTGAAAGCAAATACTAAGCTTAAAAAAAATTTTTGTGATATTCTTTAGATGATCATTACACCAGGAAACATGGCAGGTTTAACTTTAAATATGATGCTACGACAGCCTTCAAACTCATGCAATGAAAGATGACAAGTAATACTTTTGCTTTCTTTCTGTAATCAGGTGACAGCTGTATTTGCCGCAGACGCAGTTGCCAGGTTATCAGGAGTTGTTGGTGTGGCAGCTGTTACTGCTGGTCCAGGCAAGTAGATACTGAATGGAATGCCAGATGTCTCTACCTTTTTTTATTTTGGATCCTTCTTTCTCTGTTTTGGATCATATGGTGTTTTCAATGGCTTTTGAGTTGAGGCCAAACTTGACCCATATTTCAGTCAAAATGTATATGTTTTAGCAAGTAGATTTATATTTCGTCGTCATTTCAGGTCTAACAAATACAGTGACAGCTGTGAAGAATGCACAAATGGCAGAGTCTCCTGTGCTGTTGTTAGGTGGAGCTGCTGCTACACTCCTGAAGGTCTGTACTTTGTTTGAATTGATAACTTTAGATTTCTGTCTTGTTCAAGAGAGCTCTGTATGCCAGAAGGCTAATCTTGTCAGAGTCTGTTTCAGCAGCCTGAAGTGACTAGGATTATTTGTTACCCCCTTTGCTGGATGGGATTGCAGTCATGTGGCTACCTCCATAAATTTTGTAAATGTGTATTTTGCTGTTACCCAATGGAGGCACTGTGAGAGTAAACTGTTGTGTATTCCGAATAAAAAGCCAGGAACACAGTAACCAGATCAAGATGGCGGAAGAACTGTTTTTAATCAAAGCAGAAAACCTCGTGTACAATACCAAATATGGAAAACAGGTCTCGTGACACTAGCTTCTACGTAGAACACGGAAACCAAAAATTGGAAAAATCTTAACATAAACTGTCCTGTTAAAGAGCACTAGACAGTGACCTAATTAGAGTTTGAATCCAGACCTGTCAATCCACAGGCCAGGGACGGGTTGCTCAAAGATGGGTTAAGATAACCCAGGGTTAGTGTGACATCTTATTTTGCATCTGAAAGTTCTATGATCGGATGCTCTTAAAAAGAATGGAGAAAAATGGTCTAAAAAAGGCTTTAGAACAAGTGATTAAAAAAACCTGGCCAATGTAAATAAGAATAATAAACCAGCCCTCAAACAACTGGGCCCAGCTCATTAATCAATAAGGCACCTAGTCTCCTTAAGACTTCTCTGTTGGAGACAATATTGATCAGACATTAAAATAGTGATTGGAATCCTTTTCATGAGAACACCCTTCCTTGCAATACATGTCTCTTTTATCTAGAAATTAGATGCTTGGTTCTAATAAAGGGTTAAGTTAATTTGCTTCTGATTTAGTTCTTTGCAGTTACTAATTATTATTGGCTGTTATTATCTTGATGATTTCTTTTAGGGACGTGGAGCACTACAAGATATTGACCATATGAGTTTGTTCAAGTCTTTGTGCAAGTACTGTGCTACAGTTACAAGGTAAGACTTGTACTTTTCAGCCCAGATGATTCAAAGAAGGGTAGACTGACGTGGAATCAATACAGAAACTGATCTTACATCTTGTTTTGACCAGATGAGTTGTTAGCCTCATAAATTTCTGTCAGTGCTTTTCATTTTTGATTACCACTGCCATTGAACAGTATTGTCTGTAATATTGAACAGTATTGTCTGTAGTATTGAACAGTATTGTCTGTAATATTGAACAGTATTGTCTGTAATATTGAACAGTATTGTCTGTAATATTGAACAGTATTGTCTGTAATATTGAACAGTATTGTCTGTAATATTGAACAGTATTGTCTGTAGTATTGAACAGTATTGTCTGTAATATTGAACAGTATTGTCTGTAATATTGAACAGTATTGTCTGTAATATTGAACAGTATTGTCGGTAATATTGAACAGTATTGTCTGTAATATTGAACAGTATTGTC